ACATTTGCGCACACACACTCTCCCTTCTGTCCATGGCGCAGATTATCCACCTTGTCTTTCGCGGATAACAATGGTGCATCCAATGTCTGGCCGCATTGCTTGACACACCACAATTTCCGCTCGACGCTTTCGCTTGTGCATGCCCATCCACTACTGCCGGCTGTACACAGCTCGTCCTCTCTATACTCCCTTCGCAGTTGCTCTCGCACGAGAGCCTTACCTCGCCCTTGCATCTTTCTGTTGATCGGAAAGACCTACCGCAATAGGATCCGACGCTCTCGCGCAATCATGATCACGGTCTTGTGAAGTGCGATTTCATACGCCGTGGCGTCAGGAAGTGACAAAGGTCTGAGCAGAAGTAGATCTCCGAGGGGCCATCCAACGCAAAGCATGTCATTTGAACAGATCCGCGGCGAGGTCTGGGCTAATTTGTTGTGGAGACATCGAAGTACATGCGAAAGGGATTTTTGGCATCAAACACAGTGGACAGTGCCGTCAGCGTGGGTGTGGCAGTCCTGTGCTGCAGCTGTGGCGCTGGCTGAGGTGCTCGTCGCTGAAATCGTGCTTGTGGGAGAGGCGTCGAGATCGTGATCGTCATGGTCGTGGTCGTGATCGTGATCGTGCTCCTCGTGATGCCTATCCGCAGGGCAACCCTGCTCGTCGATGTTGGCGCGCACAAACGCTTCAAACGCAAAGTCTTGCAGCGAATGCTGGTTTTTGACGCTCTCCGTCACGTTGTTCTTGGCCAAGTCTAGAAGGGCCGGATACTCGTCTGCCGTGTGGCCAACGTGGTCGTTGGTCATCGTTGGCAGGTGCATGGCGCGGTGCAGCAGATCGGTGGCCCAGTAGACATTTACATTGTCATGAATCAGCGAAAAACCATTCGCGCAAGCCTTCTCGATGGGCAAGCGAGTTTGGAAAGACAGAGGGCAGATGACCGTCTCTCCGGTGGCGCTACGATAAGCAGAGCAGAGGAGACGCTTAGCTCAACCATTTGCCATGCTGACGCCACGGTAAATCTTCTCGACTCACTTGTTTCCCCGCCAATGACCATTGTAAGTTGGCTGCGTCTCGCAGTTGCGATCAGGGTCATCGCAGCGGAAAAGAGTGGCACTCTTGTCCGACTCGAGAACTCGCAGGTAGATTCCAAGAGGTACGCTAGGATCAGAACCTTCTCCGAAGTATGTTTGATACACTTCCGACTGGTTGCCGTGCAGCAGAATGTGGTCCGCAGCGCCTCGCAACAATCTCTTCAGGTCGAACAAACCACGCTCCAGCTGCATACGTTGCGACTTGTTGCACGACTCGTGAATGGGAAAATCAGGCTGCAGGGAACGAGAAGCTGGGCTCGTGATAGTAGGAGGGACGAAGGTTTCGTTGGAGGCGACGGCATCCTGACGCGCAAAGACCCCAAAGTTGGCATCGTCTACGGTGGGGTCAGCAACATAGGGGCGAGCAATGGCGGTCGTGACCACGGTGGCAGCCAAGGTGCTTAAGAAGGTGGCAGTAAACTTCATTTTGACAGTCACGATGAATGGGGATGACTTTTGAATAGGGTGGGGGTCGAGCTACTTGAACTGGATGGATGTGCTTGGAACGTTACATGGAGGAGTTACTTTATACCTGCCAAAGTGAACCGCTATCCCAGGTAATGTATCGCAACACTCAATGATCCACGAAAAGCTTCTGTGCTCGTGCACCTGGACGCTCGACATGACACATGGACGCGCCCACGATTTGAAACCTTGTGCTATGTCGCTCGAAGGACTCAGAGTACCTTCACAACTCCGTCGAACGTGGCTGATGGTCGCCAAGACTTCCTTCGAGGACCTTGCGGGTGTGACTGTGAGCTCAGATCGCGCGTGAGAGCCTGCAAATTTTGCTCCGCGGCGAGATTCTGCCAAGGAGGGTACCTCATGGGCACCGACATCTCTCATCGACCAGAGAGATGTTGGCGGCTGGCGGCATTCAAAGTGGTGATAGCTGCTGATTCCGGCGGGGCCGAGCGGATCAGGACGGGCTTGGGCGGCAAGGGCCCGTAGCGAGGGCTGCCTGATTGTCGTTCGACCTTGAATCACCACCGCTCCTCTTCGACGGAGGTGCATGTCTTGGCGCATGAAATAAACGTTAGAATAGCGAAGTGCGTTCCTGGCGAGCGAATGCTAAGGATGTCTTCGCTGAGCACGCTTTGATCTGTACTCGAAGGCAGGCTAGCGTGCGATACACCTATGGCACGCTTGTGCGCGCATGGAGAGTAGCTGTGCCGCGATGGAAAGGCAAGATGCCTTACATGCTGCAGCCACAGACCACTGAGCCCTACTGACAATTCAGGATTGTTGATCGTGTGCGAATTGTAGAGAGCATGCGCTGCTGCTGGAAACGGTGCTCAGGGCTAGACGGATGCTTCGCATGGGTCGCAGCGAGGTGAGTGAGCTTTTTTGGACGCGCTTAAAGGCGAATCTTGGCATGCACGACCGCGAGGGTCCTCTTTGCGCGTCTTTTGGTGCAAGAGCTGATTTTTTTCCCGCAAAGATGCTCCTGCTGCGGTCTTTCGTAGATCAATCAGGCGCGAGTCCAAGTCGTGGGTGAGCGATTGCACTTGCGGCTTCTGTGGGAGTCAGCGAAGCTCGGGGTCCGCGAGTCATCCACGACGGACTCAGCTGGGGGCTCACCCTTGGCCTGTACAGTATACCAAATGAAAGCGCCAAGACCGAGACCCCGAATACCAGGCACGAGTGTGCAGAGAGCAGATGGTAGAAAGATGAGCGAACTCCTCGGGCATTGCGATGGTCAACGGTGCGCGAAACCAAGCCAGGGCTGGGAAAGGGAGCCGACGGCTGTACAAAGCTATGGCGACCCCGAGAGCCCTCTTTGATTGAGACCACAGCCAGCAGAGTCTCTATAAAGATCAGTCACATTTGCTTGCAACCTTACATGCACCCTCTGGCACAGAAGAGGTGCTCTTGATATCCACTCGTGACTCCACATTCTACCCGTCATGAAGCTCCAGGCCGTTTTCTTGTGCGGTGTGCTGGCCGCGAGTGCCGTCTCAGCGGCCAATGTCCTTGCAGCTCGCCAAGCCGGTCCCTCACCAACTGGTCGCGGGGCCTGCGTGCTCTCCGGCGGCGCCTGGACCTGCGAGCTCGCCGCTAGCGGCGCAGCTACAGCTCCGATTGCAACCTCTGTCAACTCTGTAGGTGGAGCAGGTGCTGCCTCTGCGACTGCTACCGATCCTTTACCGCCAGCTACAGTGACAGTCACCGAAATGGTAGAGCCCAGTCCTACTGGTCAGGGTGCTTGCCATCTTCACGGCGATCATTGGCACTGCGACGAAGAAGGTGAAGAGGGTCATGATCACAGTCACGAAGGACACGATCACAGCGGACATAGTCACGCCGGTCATAGCCATGCAGGGCACAGGTGAGGATTGTTGCGTCCGCGTTCGCATGCTGCGTGCTGACAAGTGACAGTGGCTCCCCCTGACGCAGTCATGGTCCATCCGAGGAATTTGGTTGTGGGCTTGCACCTCTGGAAGAATACAATTTGCCATTGCACGTAGCTGCAGTCTTCATTCTTCTGGTCGCCTCGATTGCAGGAGTCGTCTTGCCTTCCTTTGGGAACCTTCTGGAGCGCGCTTTTGCTACTACAGCCTCGCAATCCGCTACCTTTCGACGTTGGACTGGAAGCTTCACCTTCGCCATGCGCCACTTTGGGGGTGGAATCATCTTGTCCACCGCCTTCATTCACCTGCTCTTCCACTCCTTCGTCTACTTCAACAACAGCTGCATTGGCGAGCTCCAGTACGAAGCTGCATCGGCGGCAATTGCCATGGCAGCCGTATACGTCATGTTTCTCATCGATTTCCTCGCCCTTCGACCGTTGCGACGTCAAGCATACGCTGCCCAGGAACGTGCATTCGCGTCCGGAGCAAGGACCACCTCCGATGACGACTCTGTCGAGAAACCCAACGAGCGTGCCTTGATACCTGAGGAATCAGATGGACATGCGCACGAGTCGATTGACCTGCTCAAGCATAGCGAAGGTCGCATGGCCAAGTGGAACGTTCTCGCTCTGGAAGCCGGCATCATCTTCCATAGCATCATCATTGGCGTGACGATCGGCACCGCTTCTGGTGAAGGTTGGGTGGTGAGTTTCGACGTCTCAAAGATGGTGCAAAGAAACGAAACATTGAACCCGGTGCCGCTTTGCCTTTAGCCGCTGTTGATCGCCATTGTGTTTCACCAATTCTGCGAGGGTCTAGGCTTGGCGAGCCGAGTGGTCCTCCTTCCTTCCTCCGTTCTGAGCAACACTTTGAAGTTCGTCATGCACCTCGTCTTCATCGTGACCACGCCCGTGGGCATTGCCATCGGCATTGGCGTGCGACAGTCCTACAACGGGAACAGCCGGGGCACTCTTCTAGCAGTCGGCATCCTCGACGCGATCTCGGCCGGCATTCTGATCTACGCGGCCCTCGTTCAGATCATCGTCAACGACTACATCTTCAATCGCGAAATGACGCGCGCTTCAATGAAGCGCTGTGTTGCCGCCCTGACGTTCTTTACGCTCGGCCTGTTCGTCATGTCCGTGCTTGGATACTGGGCTTGAAAAGTCTGGAGCGGCTGCAACACTCTACCGCCTCATGATTTCCAGATTTGCTCCCTCGGATGAGACTTTCTTTCACGTTCAATCCACGATCCTAGTGTGTAGATTATCTGTTGAATGGCGGCAGTATTCTCGTTACTCATCCAGGACTTGACTCTTCACACACGAGCTCAAAATTTGCCAAAGCGAGCCAAATCCAATCACAAATCAAGAATCACGTGAATGACCGGCTTCGAGTAGCAGTCACGTGAAGACGTCTCGTTGGCGAGTTCTCGCA